CTGGAACACGCTTTTTAATGTTTTATACTACTTTTTCACGAGTTTTATACACGGTGTTCCGAACTTCTCGATTTCAATCGATATCTGAGATAATTATCTCAAAACGTTTATATAAAAAATAAAACATCTTACATTGAGGTAAACGTAACCATTGTGCGTTTACTTTATTTTTTTTTTTTTCTGGAAAACTCTGTGAAAACTTCCCCGATTTTATAATCTTTTGTAAAACACAGTTAAGACAAACGTCGTAATGTCAAATCGAACACAAGTCGATGAAAAAAATTCTGTTTTATTTGGAATAGAATTTCTGAACTCACTGGAATTTTTTTCCAGGACACTCGTTACACGCGCGCGCGTAGATTTATGCACATTCGTTGTGTCGTAACGTGACGTTAATTTTCGCATGCATGACCCATTATTTCCGCTTTCATTTCCAACTATGAAGCACACGCGTGTTACACTGTGAGGTAAACCGAAAAGTTGCACGCACAACGACCTACGTCCGTGTTTTTCGGGATTCTAAAACAATGAAAAAACGTATCTACTACGTAAACCAGCCACACACACACACACACACACACACGTGGCTAGCTTTCTCAATATATTGCGAACGTGCTTGTAATTTTCCACTGCGTTTTTCCATCTGACAATAAGTTTTACAATTTTTTGTCAAAGTACGCGTTATTTCTCCTGGCCTTTAATCAAAAAATAGATCTTTGATTTTGAAGAACGTCGACGAAAGAAACACGCGTATAGTTTCATTCACCGTGCAAATGTGCAGTATAAAATTTTTTGCAGTAAAAAAATATGAAATACAAGATAACGTTATTAAATATGTAAGTAAAAGAGAGAAATGCATTTTATTTTCTTTTGCTTCGTCGTAGCAAAAAAGATCAGTGAAATTAAAGGACAGAACATTTAAGGAGCAAGCATGTCTATTTTTAATGGGCTACGCTGTTTCTTCCTGGAGAATTTCCCTTTCTTGAATTTCTTCCGCTTCTTTACCTTCAAAGCTAACGTACGCTAAACGCAAAGTAAAATGGAGTTTGCAGTACACTGTATAAAAGTAACATTTCCATTTGTAGCCTGTTAAAGAAAGACTGCCGGAGATTTAATTTCTTTAATGTTAAGGCAGTAGAATATAAATATACGTCACGTTTATATATACGTATAATTTGTAGAAATTTGTGGAAAAACTCACGTTTTCGAATCTGTTTACTTTGACGAACAATTGCACATAGCAATGTGTCATTACAATTAAGGGAATACAATAATGTTAATAATTTTTTATTTTTCACAACAAAATATAAAGTAGCAAAGTATATTCTATTTTTGATATTATTGACAGAGTAAATATTGTGTTACAGCTGTTACACGGTTTTAACAAAATCACGATACGAACCACAACCGCACATAGTTCACAGTTGTCATGTAGCATCTGTCTGTCATATTTGTATTTTTTTTGTTTTATGTTTTTTGTTTTTTATTGCTGTCAATAGACTTCGAAAAACATAAATAAAAAATTGTCTCGGATATCTGTTGATTGAATTAACAAAGTCGGTGTTTTGTTCACGTAGAGTCGCACGCATTAAACAATGACGCTGAAAAATCAGTCTATCTGCAAAATCGCTCGCGCGACGAGCGGAACGCGCTCGTTCGCCGTCGTTTATTCAACGCGTGCGGAAAAATCTCACGGAGCTTTTCATGCATTTTTGCGTCATCGTCGCAGTTTCGGATGTCGTACACAGATCGTGCCGAGAGCGCTTTCGCAACGTGACAGAGCGCGATCGGACATCGGCGAACTTCGAAGAGGATTTTTACGACGCAACGATTTCATCTTCTCGCGCGAACGAGCGAAACCTGTTCTCGTAAAGTAGACACTTGTAAGTAAATATTTACAAAATATTATTTCTTTCTATTTAAAAGTTCATTTAAAATGTCAAAAAACTTGATTATTAGGTTCATCAATTGGCAATTTGTAAAAGCGATTAGGTGTCAACATGTAACGTTGATTGTGAAGTAAACGACTTCCATCTCTTAAAATAAAATCAAAAAGATTAAGATAAAATCTTATATATACGTCATAATTATCTCAATCTAATTGATCGTTATAATTGATCTTATCAACTATAAGATCATGATATGATCCTATAGTTGTGCAAATAATTTTACGTCACGGCAAAGTCTTCTTTTTCGGAAAATCGTCATTTCTCGCGAGTTTCTTCAATTCCCTATCCGATGGTGTCAACCGTCGTAAGGTTAAACCTCCGACGAGCGACCTCGATAGCTCAGATGCGCCACAAATTTCGCGCTTGTTTTCACGAACGACCCGCCGAGTGGACGCGATTTACGTTCCCGCGCGCGCATCATCGAATTCTCGGGCCCTTTTCGGACGCGAAAAGGAGCAACGCGCGGCGGAACGCGCTCGTCGTAAAAACGTCGGTAAACTAGCGGAGCTTGAACGTCCGTTTACTGCCGACTTTACGATCGCATTTACAATCGGCCGCACCGCCGTCGTCGTTTTATTACCGCCGAAAGACCCGCTCGGCGAGAGCGTCCACTACGTGTCCCCGTCGCGCCCGTAAATCGTCAACGTGGGTTGCCAGTATCCGAAGATTAACAAGATCGTGCGTGAGTGCACGGCACGGGACGACGAAACGGCTGCTTTGCCCCGAATTACAAACGCTGGTGAACACACTTCAGCGGGAGAGGTCCCGTACTAACAAAATTTGGCAGCCCGCTCAGGGATTGCGGACGAGGTGGTGAGCGATATTACTATCGGCGCCAAACTTTTAATCAATTTTGAATTTAACTTTATTACATAAACCCCCTTGCTGTTGACTCTGTCCGACGAAACGCAAAATTCGCGCTTATTAAAGCGTCTCGACTGTTTTCTCGGGAACAGCGAATGATGTTAAATCGAGCGTTTTTTTTTTTTTTTTTTACAAAAAGCAACACACGCTCAGAAAATAAATAACAAGCCTAAATTGCGAGAGATAATTTGATAATTTGATAATTTGATATAATTTCACCTAATCCTAATACAAATGACAGAGACACGTGAATGGCGAACTTGTAAATTACAATGTAAATGCGTTATGTAAATTTTACCACCTCTTGTGAAGTTGTACGTGTTGCAGCACTTTCCGGAGTCGCGACGCGGAATCCCCGGAACTTTTAATTTTTATCAAAATGTAAATTGTGCGATTGCCGCGGGGCCATTTGTTTAGCGCGACGTCCGTAAAGAATTGCGTTTGTCGCGTTCGAACGACGCCGTCGCAATTTTTGAGACCGCGGGAAACCCTTGAAAATATAAGGTCCGGTATACGTCCGGTGCATCCCGAAGCCGGCCATTTCGCATTGCGGAAGTTCGACATGCGGTTTTTCGGGAAATCATGCTGAATGCGCGCTCTCGTCACACGTACGGTCGCCGTGCTTCTCTATTTTTGCTTCGCGGATATATAGAAAAAAAAATAGAGAGAAACGAGCATTTTTTTTTTTCGAGACGACTTTCGCTTGATTACAAGGCACGCTCCGATTCCTCCTTGATATCGCGCATTGATTCGACGGGTTTTTGGCACGAGACTAAAAGTTTCTGTACGTGTTTTTATGTTCTCTGCTGGAGAGATGGTAAATGATCAAAAAATCCTTTAACGTTTCCAAAAACGCGGAAGAAACGTGAACGATCATTGTTACACGGGGAGGTAAACGAGTGTAGCAAAAAACATTGTGGTATAATGAAATTGAATTGGTCGCATTTCGACAAATATATCTGTATTGTTTATCGTTCTGTTTCGTTAATTGAGAGAAGTCATTGTTTACAAACACAGTTATATCTTTTCAATATTAATAAAAACACCGTTTAGTAATTTATTTCTTTGTTAAACAATTACGAATTACGTGATTCTATTGTAAACGCAATTAGACGTTACTTTTTTTTGCATCGGTTGGTCATCAAGTTTCGCTAAACATTTAACGCTTACATGTAGATTAAATTCGTTTTCAACGAAGCGATCGATAACCGTGTCGTCGATTTCGCGATAAAATGCAACACATGCGACATACACGGAATTTATTATTACCGTGAAAATCAATCGAATATTCATAACAACATTGCGACGTAATAATTTTATATTTTAAACGGTTAATCGACCGTGAGCGAAACGCTCTCGCGCACCGGTCGCGTGATATCGCTCTCTCTTCCTGGACTTTACCCCTATCTCTTCCCTCTATCATCCCTCGTTGCGTTAACGCGTTATTGCACTGTAATAGTAACGCGTTCATTGTAAAAAATCGAATATGATGCGCTCTTTCCCTTCAATATTGCAGAAAATTATTTCTTACGTAGAAAAGAGACGCATATTTCTTTTACAACCGGAGTCGACGAACTTTATGAACGCGAGGCGTAGTGCTTTTTCTTTGTCTCGTGGAAGAATCGTGGCCTTTTATAGGCCACGTTTCCCGACGTTATGAAACATGAATGTCCAGGCGCAGTAAGTAGGTTTGTTGTCACTTTTACGTTACCCGCGAGATGAACCTGAAATTTTCACGATTTGCAGGATTCAATTTCCCTGTCGTTCTCGATGCGATTCAATTCTCGAGGGACGTATTCCTTCGAAGTATAAAATACATACGATATTCTGAATAGATTCTCAATCATGGAACTTTTTATTTGTGAACTTTGTTTTATCGATAGCTTCATTGTGTGTATAAGTTCATTTTTTCACGAACTTAACTTTTTTTTTTTCATATTCTGCGCGAAACGAAGATTTTGGTTCGCGATTAATTAAATCGAACGACGCAATAAGCCTCGTTCTGTCGCAGATTAGGGCAATAAATTAATTAAAATTATATCGGCGTTCATGCACGCGTGGAATGTATCATAAAGCGAAATGAAGCAAGAAACAAGAACGAGACGCGAGACGCAACGAGAAGAAGAAGTAAGAGAGAGAGAGAACTCGTCGATAAACTCACTTGCCTCGTTCTCGTTTTCTGCGCAGGTTACGGCAACATTTGTCCCAAGACGAAATGGGGCAAAGTTGCGACTATAGTGTACGCAATAATAGGAATGCCTCTCTTCCTTCTTTACCTCAGCAATATCGGCGACATTCTAGCCAGAAGCTTCAAATGGACCTACGCCCGTTGTTGCCTGTGCAAGTGAGTTTGTTTGGTTTTTTTCTCTTCACGAGGGATAGCGTCGTCGTTTCCTATTGATCTTGCGAACTTCTGTCTGTCTTACATCGAATTCGTCGAATTAATCATGATCGATCTTTTAAAGGTGTCGGGGAAGATCGTACGGTTCGACGAACACCGCGAGAACATCGGAGATATCGAATGATCCGGTTGCGAAAAGAAACCGCTGGCAGGTGAGTGACGATCGCCGCAACCCGGAATTAGATTCCCGATCGCATTCTAACGAAGCGCGCGCGCGCGGCATCATGAGATATGCAGTAGGATGTGAAGAGCTTTTATGCAGAATTACCGCACACCACTCGAAAACCGCAAACGTTAGAGTGGAATACGAAATGAAAGTCTTTTTTTGTGTCAATGTCGAAGTATATTAATAGATCTTTTAGAGATAGAGTGTCTCTTCTTTATTTAACTTAAGACCAAGAGAAAGAAAACGTTTCTAACAAACTATTCGAGAATGAGATGGTCTATTTATAGCGAAATCGATTCAATAAAATTGATACCGAAGAGACGGGAGATGGTTGGAAATTAATGATCTGTGTTCAATCAAATACGTTATATATATTCTTGATCAATCGATTTCACAGCATGTAATTCTGGAATATTCTATATATACATAAAGACTGTATAAACAGAATTTGCATCTGTAGGTGGTAAACGCGCGCGACGGAGATGTGGATGCATCGAGCCTGGATCCGGAAGAAACTTCGCCGAGAGACGGCGAAGACGGCAGTGTCGACGAGGGCGACGGTAACGACGAGGACGACGACGATGAGAGCGACAGCTACGATCCTCAACACGTGACGGTGCCGTTAACTCTCTGTCTCCTTATTATGGTGGGGTGAGTCTGTCGAGAGAGAAAGAGAGAGTACGAGAGAACGAGATAATCAGACTGCTAATGCTACGAGATTAGTTTTTGAAGAACATCTTTTGCAGAGACAGACGAGCTTTATATTAACTTGTAAATTATTGTAATTAAAATTAGAAAAAATGTTTGAAATGTGATATTCGTGATATATTTAGAAGAACTACATATCGTATTTAACCTTCTCATAACAAACGTGCAATTTTGCAAATAATTTGTAGAACATTTTTTCAAATTTTTTCAGCATGAGAATAACTAACAAATGTTTGATTTTCAAGATCGCGGGGCATTCTGACATCTCGCGAGATCGAATCGAATCTCTCGTCTTTGGAATCGAGATTCCATTAAAGTAGAATCTCAAAGTAAATTTCCTGACTTTATGATCTGCCGTATATTGACGGCGATCAGTTTGCGCGAGCGTTCCGCGACTTAACCACCGACATCCGGATGTCACGGGAGAAAATTCGGGAGAGAGTCACATCGGGGCGAGAACGTGTTTCCCGAACTGACAGCATCTTTCTTCGCTTTTTGTCCCTCTTGTCAGGTATATTTGGGGCGGTGCGATTCTGTTTTCGGAATGGGAGGACTGGAACATGCTGGACGGTTCTTATTTCTGCTTCGTCTCTTTGTCGACCATCGGCTTCGGGGATTTCGTCCCAGGCGACAAGATCTACTCCGGCCAAGGCCTCGAACTGTCTTTCATCTTCTGCTCCATGTACCTGATGCTCGGTAAGTTCTACACATAGGTTATTATTATTAAAGTAAATGTAAATTAAATATGAACGAAAGAGACGAACGTAACACAGTTCTTTAGCAAAGAAAAATTAAATCCTCTGTACTCCAAATTAATCTCCATACAAAGCACAGCTAACGTTAAATTTTTTATAATATCGATATAAATTTTTATAATATTGATTCGATGTACGTTACAAAATAAAGACATACAAAAGCGTTCAATTTTGCGTGGATTAGCCCCCTCTCCGGTCGGCAAACCGAGGAATGAAACAATATAAAGCTATTTTTTTTCCCAGAAATCCAATTATTGTAGAATTTTTGGCTGCGTGAACGCTGCGGCGCGCAAAGACAATCGCTTCAAAAAAAGAATCAACTGCTTTTAAATCCTGCAACGCAATTGCACCCGACACTACTATGTGTGTGTGTATATATATATATACACATGTATATATACAGGGTGTCCCAGAATTGCCGTACAATCTTTCGTAGGCAGGTAGAAGGAGTAAAACTGAGTCGAAAAGTCCTGAACCATTTTTTTCTATTATTTATAATAAAGGAGTAATTATTGAGTAAATCAGGCCAATCAGCNATAATAAAGGAGTAATTATTGAGTAAATCAGGCCAATCAGCGCAGACCTTTAGCCAGACGCACGTCAGTGAGCCGCGCGCCTCGTGTGTGTGAGCGCTCACTGACGTGCGTATGGCTAAAGGTCTGCGCTGATTGGCCTGATTTACTCAGTAATTACTCCTTTATTATAAATAATAGAAAAAAATGGTTCAGGACTTTTCGACTCAGTTTTACTCCTTCTACCTGCCTACGAGAGATTGTACGGCAATTCTGGGACACCCTGTATATATATATATAACGCTGTTTCCCGCACGCAGCAAGCGCATTAAGTCCGTTTCAATCAATGTCCGATTGCCGGGCAGATTTTTCGCGGAGATATTCAAGTGCTTTCGAGTGCGCTTCCGCGCATGCACGAGAGCCGGGCCCGCTGCTCTCGCAACCGCGCAACAATTCGCGCGACAATAATATCCGCGATGCTTAAAATCGCGCTCCCATCTGATTTTCCGCGCGCGCTTCGCAGACGCGTGGTATTTACAGTTACCCGTTCCCGTTGTGTGTTCTCAGGAATGGCGCTGATTGCCATGTGCTTCAATCTCATGCAAGAGGAGGTGATCGCGAAAATGCGCTCTCTCATGCGCATCATCAAGTACATTTTCAGGTGCGAGAGATGACGAACGAGCTCTCAACGTAATTCTGCATCATCACGATAATCGGTGAGTGTGTACGTCAATCAGTGTGTTTCAAGTATTCTCCGACGAGAAATAAAACCTTGTCTTTCGCAAAGTGAGAACGGCGCAAACAGTACGTAATACGACGGTGTAAGTAATACGTATTATTAAAGATAGAGTGACTATTTTTTTATTCGCATTCTTGTCTTTCGTTTGTATACGATCTGTATAAACGTAAAAGCAATTGTTCGGATGCGGATGCATCTATTCGATTCCCTAAAATTCCAAGACGAAGGAGAAATCGGGGGCGCGAGGTGAGCTTGTTCGATCGGAGAAACAGCACGACAGAGTGAGAACAGCACGACGCAAAAAGATCGTAAACGATAAATTCTACGGGATCGTTCGCCGAAAAGAAAAATGTAACCGTCTGCGCGTTTACATTTCAAGAGAGAAAGAGAGAGAGAGAAAAGAAAAAGATTTTTCCAACCGAACAATCGATTCAATATATGTTAGGTTTTGTTTTAATCAAATTATTGTACGAGGTTGGTGTGTGTGCATTTAAGTACCAAAAATTTACGTTATAACAAACACACGTTCCACACGCAAATAAAATATCGCAGTTGGAAATGTGCGATGAGCATAACATTTTATCGTTTTCCGGTATTGTGTTCCTTGTTGGAACTTCTCATCCGTTTTTTGTTCGTTTTGTTTGTCGAACTACGTTCCTTCGTGGGAGAAGAGATCGAGCGACGCCGTGCGAAAAATCGACGGACAATACATCGGTGCTGTCGCTTTCGCGTCGAATTACGCAAAAGAAAGAGGGGAAAGGAACTCCGCGGGAGAACGCGCGCGCGAATCGGAGATCATCTCTAAAAAGTACGAGAGGAAACTAAATAAAGCAGAACCTTCGGAAAAGGATGTACAGAACGAGAGGGAGGAATCGCGAGACTGGCGTGATCGGGTGTCACAAAGTCGACGGATATTTGGGGGACTGTGAAATTCGCGAAGAGGCAGAGAGAGAGAGAGAGAGAAGGGATGAAACGCACTCGAGATTACGACGCTCAAAACTATTCGGCTCGCGAGAAATAACTGGCGCACTTGTCTCCGCGTTGCACGATAGCGAGCAAAATACATGTATCGGATATTACTCGTCGATAAGATAGAGAGCCATCGACGTTTTTTAAGACGTGCGCGACCCGTTTTCGTCCACTTGACGCGTTTTCCCCGCACAGAACGAACGAGGACGTTCGAAAATATTCGACCGCGAGTGGGTTATCGCGAGAAGTTTGAGCGAGATTCATAAAATAGTTGCGCGGATACACAGATTGGATGTGCTAAAAACAGTCGGCCCGTTTCGCGATTATTGATTTTTGCAAATTCGCTTGCGAGATCCGGCGAATTGTTTTTCGAAATTTTTAAGAGAACTGACGGACGAAAACTTTTTGCTTGATTGCAGAGTTCTAAATTATTACGCGTGCACCGTGTGTTTGGAATATACATTGGGTGTGTACATACATGTGTTATTCGTGTACATACGTATTATTCGTGCACACGTATTGTTACAGAACTTCCTCCGCGCGTTACACAGAAGTTTAACGGATTCTTGTGCGTTTCGCGTGCGAAAAGTGCTAATGTGAATCTCGAAAAATCTGTGCGAGAGTCTCGAGTAATGAGAGAGACCGGTCTACTTAGTCTACGTCCGGCGAATGATCGCGCACTTGAAAAGACGAGGCCGGTCGCGACCCGCCTGTCGCGTCCGTCACCTCGAGCCGCGCGATGAGAGGATTTGCGGGCAGGGTAAGCTGAGACGTGAGAGATGAAGGAAAAACGAGAAAAAAAAAGAAGCGGAAAAAGACAGAGAGGAGGCGAGAGACATTTATCCTCCGAGAGAAGAGCTCCGTAACAAAATCCTCTCTCTCTCTCTCTCTCTCTCTCTCTCTCTCTCTCTCTCGACTGCAAAGTCCAAACGCTCGGACTTGCTTGTCGTCATTAAATGTAATAAAGAACGAAAATAAAAAGTTGATGCGTGCATATATAATGCAGCCGAGAAGAAAATTTACAGGAAACTGAAGAGAGGACAGAGAGAGAGAGAGAGAGAGAGAGAGAGAGAAGGAGAGAGAGAGAGAAAGGAGGGACAGAAGGGAAGAGACCGGGTCGACGGAACGAGGCTATACTATGCGTTCCCGCATGCGGGGATCTCTCTCCGTTCGCATCTGCCGCACATGCGCCACGACCACCCCCGGCTAGACACGGAGGGCGATCCTGCGCCCTGCCGCCGCCACGGGGGTGCGTCCATACGTATAAGCCGGCGTACACTTCTTGCGAACGACTCGCTCGCTCCGCCGTCGCTCGTTCCGCTCCGCGTTCCCTGACCTCGTCTCTCGTCTCGTCTCGTCTCGTCTTGTCTCGTCTTCGTTGTCGCGTCGCCGATCGAAGCCCCTCGACCGCGGTCTCGATCCAAAGAGAGGAGGATCTTGGTGGTCGATCTCGAGTACCTCATATCATTATCCAAGTGTCGAATCACGCTTTATCGTTTGTCCGTGTCGTCGCTCGGCCTCGTCGTCGGCTCGATATTCACCAGCTGCGAACTTTTGAAATTCTCTTGGTGTTTGATGTCACACAAGGATTGATCTCTAAGTGAGAAGACGATGATTTTGCGGGACTGGATGTTCGTCGCGTCTCGTGCCAGTAGTAAGTTTCACGGGAAGTGAATTCCAAACTGAAGAAAGAAAAAGAGAGAAAGAGAGAGAGAGAGAGAGAGAAAGGGAGAAAGGGAGAGAACTCGTGAGAGAAACAGACGACCGAAGGGACTCGTCGTCGTCCATAGAGTCAGAGAACTCGATGGAGCTCTTCCGGCACATCTGGGACGACGTTTAGCGTAGAACAAACCTCCTCGGCAAGTACAAATCGACGACGTCGACAAATTCTCGATCAGTAGCATGACAATCAGAAAATCGGTTTTAATCACACACATACACACACACGCACACACAAATGTAATAAAGGATTTTTGGAGGACAACGTGTTAACTGACAAATTGATGTAGTATAACTCGATAACGTATAATATAACGATTTCAAATTTTTTCGCGACGCTTCTTCAAACGTATGATAAAAATATACTCATCGATTTAAACGCGGAACAATTATAACGCGATGCAATTAATTGCGATGAATCGAAGATTTTTGCATCAGAGTTAATACATATTAAATCGTCATAAATGATCGTACGTTGTACAAGAAGTTGTACAGTCAGCGAACAATTAATCACGATGGGATAAGCGACAAAAAACACAGACTAAAAAGAAAAAAAAGTGTGCGAGCAATTTTCGAGCTTCTATCGGTTTTTCTTCCTTCATCGAGAATTTGGTAATTGAAAAGTTTATTCAAGTCCCGAGCGTCCCGACCTTTCAAAAATTAATCATCTCGTATGTCCGACGATCGAGCGCTCATTTTTCACAAAGGATGTCTCAGAACGATCTCTCTCAGGATAAGGAGCGGATGTGATTCGAGACGGTCATATAGCTCTTCAGGGATTTCCTCGGGATAACGGTCGGTCGCACACCCATTGCAGATTAAAAGCGCGGATGCGAAAACGTCGAGTAAATCGCGCACAAATGACACGAGAAATAATCGGTCACGTCAACAAATTTATCACATAACGATCTCCATCCGATCTCCTTCTCGCAACACCGATCACCGAGCGTGCGAGAAAGCGGAACGAGAATGAATAAGTAACATGTACGAGGAAAAAAAGAAACGCGCGCGCTCAATCGTGCCGCATTTCGAAATGCGTTCGTCCAATCGACTGATTCGACTAATCTCCTCGATATCGGACGTAAGTGATGCGAGTCGATTATAGTCAGACGTCACGAGCCGTAAGTGATACGGGTCGATCATAGTCAGACGATATCGGACGCAAGTGATGCGGGTGCACAAGACGCTATCACCGGCAAGTGGTACGTGTCGACCATAATGAGACGCTATTACCTGATAAGTGATATAGGCCAATTATAGTCAAGTCGTTGCTTGACTCCTTCGCTTCGTCATCGAAACGAAATCGATGCGAGCGCATCGAAGAGCGATATCCGTACGGAGTGTAATGACGATCCGCGTTGTGCGGTAATATAATATTATTATATACACGGTGATGTGAAGAAAATAATGACGAACGGAGCGACGACGGCGTTTCCTATTGTTTATCGTCGTAAAGATGAGCGCGGATAGTTGGACGTAATCGGCATCAGTTTCTGGAGCGCGCGCGCGTTCTTCTCGCGAAATTCCGCTCCGCGCGCACGAACAACGAGACGACGGAAGAGAATAGAAGTTTTTCTTTTTTTTTTTCTCTCTCTACTTCGACGGTGCGACATGTCCCGTGAAACGACCGTGGGAACTTGAGGAATTGCCACCGAGGAAGCGCAAAGAGTGAGAAAAGGGAAGAGAGGACGGTGATCGCCGAACAAGGTGAGTGACAAGTTGCGGAGGAGTTGAGCAAGTTTTTTCTTTTTTTTTTTTTTTTTCAAACGCGCACATTCGAAACGACGAGACCCCGTGCATCGACGTGACGCACGAGCATCGCACACACAATGCATTCACATGTATTTTTAGTGTCTCGCTTCTAAGCCGCCTCGCGCGAATTGGAACCATGTGGCGGCGCGGAGATGCTATCGTCAAAAGAGGAAAGCATATTCGCCTCTCCCCTATAGAAGTGGTTTACGGTATCGTTTCGATTTGCCTAGAAAAAACATTGACGTGAACAAGCACGCAGGAGAGATATCTTGAATTTTTCTCTCTTACTTTCTCTCTCTCTCTCTCTCCTCTGTCTGTCTCTGTCTCTCTGTCTGCCTGAAACACTCTCGAGTGAGATTTAAAATCTCTTCGCGATGACTGAATTTCAGTCATTTTCATATTGTTGAGGAAAGATCTAGAAAAACTTGAAGTAATTTTTTTTTTTTATTAAAAAATGCAAACAAATACCTTACTGATACATTTAAATAAAAGTATATTGTCTAAAGTTATAAAAAAAAAGTCGCGCGGAATTTTTTT